CCAAAGAGTGATTAGCACGTGGAATTCACTGCCACAGGAGGAGGGGGCGTGGGCTACAAGCATGGACGGCTTCAAGAGGAACTTAGATAAACGTACAGAGCAGAGACCCCTCCCTGGCTGTTAGCCACAAGGTGTATAGATGGAACACTCTGTCTGGAGCAGTGATGCTTTGTTCTTGGTGCTTGGGGGGGCGAGAGAGTGTGTGTGGGGGGGACTTCTGGAGTTCTAGCCCTGCTGGTGGGCCTCCTGATGGCCCCTGGGTTTCGCAGCTGTGTGACAACAGACTGGACTGGACGGGCCATTGGCCTGATCCAACACTGGCTTCTTTTATGTTTGGGGCTGTGTTGGAGGTTGCTTGGCTGGGAGGAAGCAGCGCTTGGTAGGTGCTCCGCCTTGGCTCCGGAGTTGCCTGGCTCAGCGGAAGTGGCCCTCTTCCTGAGCATCTTGCTGGAGGACTGGGCACGGGGAAGCCCTGGGAAAGCACAGCCGTGGGCTGCTGCGTCTCTCCCAGCAAAATCCGCAGCTGCAGGGAGATTTGGAGGGGAGGGGCGAGGGAGGATAAGCAGGCTGCGGTGGTGGCAGGAGGGGCGGAGTGGGGTGGTGACGTGGAAGGGGAAAGGGAAGAGGGGGGCGAGAGGGACCCTGCAGGAAGGGGAGGGGATAAAGAGGGAGGGGGGCTGTGGAGGAGGAGGGGAGGAGGGTAGCCATGATCCAGGAAAGGGGGGGTGGTCTGTGCCGGGAGGGTGATAAGGACATCGGTGGGGCAGGGTTGGTGGCAGGCGGGGTCTGCCTGTCTCTCTTTCACCCCCTCCAGTGTTCCCTCTTAAGCTGAGTGAGTGTGAGCCAGCTCACAGTTTCTTAGCCTCCGGCTCACACGTTTTTGTCTTCTTCGCTCAGGAAGGAGGGCTCCAGAGCAAACTGATTTATGCAGCAGCCCAATTGCTTGCTCACAACTTGAATGCCAGTAGTAGCTCACAAAGTAGGATTTTTGCTCACAGGACTCTGTAGCTCGTGGGCCCCGGGAAAGAGGAGTCAGGATCAAAGATTTCCAGATGTCTTATTATGCTTTCTGCCCCCCGTAATCCAGCTTGGAAACATGAAAGAGAAAACAGTGGATTATTCAGAAAGAAAACAGAAAGAAAGAAAACAGTGTACTGTTCCTGGGGGGGGGGGAATGAAAACTCACATCAGAAAAAGTGTTGGGTTGTGTGTTTTTTTAAAGGACCAAAGGAAGCGAAGGAGGAGAGTGTTTAGATAATGAATTCCAGAAGATGGGGTGGGTGACCGAGATCATGGACTGTCTGCAGCCCTGGAACAGCTTGAAGACTTTTCAGGTCCTGTCTGAGCACAGGGAGAAACCAAGGGCAAGATTCCCCGGGGAAGTTCCCCGGGGTCAGTGTTCCCTGTAAGCGGAGTGAGTGCGAGCTAGCTCACAGTTTTTTAGTGTCCGGCTCACACATCTTTGACTTAGCTCAAGAAGGACGGCTCCAGAGAAAACTAATTCATGCAGCAGCCAAATCGCTCGCTCACAACTTTAATGCCAGGAGCTCACAAAGTGAAATTTTTGCTCCCAAGACTCCACAGCTTAGAGGGAGCGTTGCCCAGCATCCCATTCTGTTTCAACAGGGCCTTTCCCAGGGGCCTGGGCAGGAAAGGCCCTGCTGTTTTCCCAGCGCTCCAGCTCTCTCTTGAACCTAGGAATAGGTCCAGATCCCCACGTGCCGTGAAATGAACAGGGTGAGAAACTGCTGGAGTAAAGGAAAAAGAGCAAATGGAGGACATGCTGGTGGGGTTATAAAATCATGCACAGGGTGGGGAGACTCAATAGAAGCGGACAGGCTTGTATAGCTTCCCCATTGCTGCTGCTGCTGCCACTGGAACACTGGCAAATGAGGCTTCCGCATGGCAAGTTTCCCTTCTCCATTCCCCGGCAGTAGCCACCCCATCCCCATCCACTGGGGCTTTTTCAGTTTCCTCCCCTAACTGTCAGCCATCGGATATCATTATAATGTTGTGACAACCTGTGTCTCCGTTACTCTGAATTCCCAGCTTTTATTTGTTTAAAAAGGTCTCTAGCTCCTTTCACTGTGGAGAGATAAGGGGAAAGGTATAGATCCAGGACTTTTTTTGTAGAAAAAGCCCAGCAGGAACTCAGTAGCATAATTGGCCACACCCAACAGCAGAAACGCATTATCTTATTAGGCCACACCCCTGACAGCACAGGTCATTAGCATATGAGGCCACACCCCTGTGTTACCAGAAGTGTGGTCATCCAGCCACACCCACCTTTTGCTTCTTATTCTGTTTACATTCTTTGTTGTCAAAACTCTGGGCTTTTTTTGTAGCAGAAACGTCTTTGCATGTTAGGCCACACACCCCTAATGTAGCCAAACTTAATGAGTTCCTGATGTTGGGTGTGGCCTATTATGCTAATGAGTTCCTGCTGGGCGTGGCCAACTCGGGAGCCAGCCGGAACTCCGTTCCTGTGCGTTCCTGCCCAAAAATAGCCCTGTATAGCTCTATCTCCTGCTCTGAATGGTCTAGGCTAGCTCCATCTGGTCAGATCTTGGAAGCTAAGCAGGGTTGGCCTGGGTTAGTATTTGGATGGGAGACCCCCCCCCCCCAAGGAAGTCCCGGGATGCTACGCAGAGGCAGGTAACGGCAAACCACCCCTGTATGTCTCTTGCCTTGAAAAGCCCGTGGGGCAGCCAGAAGTCAGCTGTTACTTGACACCACTTTTCATAAAGACACATATGTCCAGGGGTCATTTCGTAGAAAAAGAGGTGCAGGAGCTCATGAGCATAACTCATTGGCATAACTTATTTGCATGTGCCACACCCCCTGACATCACCGGAAGTGTGTCCGAAGGCAACACCCACCGCTCAGGCTCC